ATATTTACACATATAGGTATATATATATATATATTTATACGAGTATATATGTATGGTTATACATATATATACGCATATATACATATACACACACACATATTGATTGTGAGCACAATTCTTTTTGAGTGGTGGAGTAATTGATAGAGCGGCCCTCACGATCTGGCGGCGCGGATCGATCCCCGAACAGAGAGTTTATATATTCATACACATATATGCATATATGTCGAATAATTCATTTCTTTATTATTGTAAACGGGTTCACTTCTTCGCTTTACTTTGCATAATAACACATATGTAGACACATACACACACAGCAGAGAGAGAGAGAGAGAGAGAGAGAGAGAGAGAGAGAGAGAGAGAGAGAGAGAGAGAGAGAGAGAGAGAGAGAGAGAGAGAGATGGAACTTATCCGTTTTAATAACTTAGTTTATAATTCCAAATCACGTTTCTCGCTGCATTTGCTGTTATGCCAAATAGCATCATTGCAATGCCGTGACCCGAATTTGCAATATTCGTTTGTTTTGATTACAGTGAAGGGAACGCTGCTTGTGTTTCTGTTTTGAGAATATCAATTGTTCCGTGATTTCACTTCAGTCACGACTGGCTTGTTCCCATTGTAGTCCAAACACGAAAAGAATAATACATACATTTTCATGACCCTGGTAGGATTTTTACTGATTATTTATATTACCATGATTATAAAATTGTAAGAAATAAATTAAGCCTCTTTTTCGAGACCAACCAAAGGCTCAAATCAATTATTCGTTATTCGTTATCACTCTACTTGTTCGAGTTTGATTTAAATAGCATAGTTTGTAAAAGACTAAATCAATTGAATCTATTTTCTGGTTTGTTATTCATTATATAAATGAGTGGATGATGATAAAGATGATAATTAAGATGACGAGGTGGTGGTGGCGGTGATAATATTAAGGATGGCGATAATAATGATGGTAGTAATTATGATTATCACAGTTTTATTGATAATGATAATAATGATGATAGTAATGGTTAAAATGATAGGAAAGAAAGCAATAGTAAGTAATAATGATGATAATGATAATAAAGTGATGAATATGATAATAGTGCTAATAGACTGATAATAATGACAATGACAATAATAATATTAAGGAGGATATGATGATAATGATGATAAGGATAATAATAAATAATGATAATCTTAATCGTAATCAATATCATTATCATAATGATAATGATAATGATAATGATTATGAGTATGATAGAAATAATAATAATAATAATAGAGAATGTAAAATAAAGATAATACAAAATGGCGACTTTTTGAGTTAAGGACATACGAACAAGGAAGACCACACAAACGCAGAGATTTAGACATAATCAACAGACGAAATCGGCTCTTGCGGTCTCTCTGGGATGTATATCAGCGTGTGTCACAGCCTCTTCCTTACTAGCTGAGCTATTTGCTATTAGAGCAGCTCTCACCCGCCCTTCTGTTGACAGACACCCAACTCTACGTATGTTCTACAACATTTTTTCATTCAGATAACATGTTACTGGTGACTACCATTCCATTGCAATCCAAACACGAAAAGATATATATATATTTTTATGACAATGGCAGGGCAGTCTTACTATGTGCTAAATAGAAGATTTTAGCTGATTATTTATTTATTTTATAGTTATAAAAATGTAAGAAATAAATAGTTACGACTCTTTTTCGAGACCAACCAAAGGCTCAAACAGATAAGTATTCATTATTCCTATGATGTAGTGGAATAACTCTTGTACGAGTAAGATACGGATTAAATAATATAGTTTGTAGAGAATGTATTATGTGCCTTGTTATGCATTATTGTAATGTACATTTGGGTTTGTGTGCATTTGGATACTAAGAAAGATAAATGAATGGATGATGATAATGAAGATGATGATGGTGGCGTGGTGATAATAATAACGATGATAATAGTAATGGGGATAAGGATCAATATGATAGCAATAGTGATAATGATAAATATGAAAGCAATAGTTATAATGATAATAATAAATACGATAGCAATAGTAATAATGATAATTATAATAAAATGATGAAAACTGTAGTAATAATAATGACTGTAATAATAATGACAATGATAGTAGTAATGAAAATGATTATGATAATATAGTAATAATAATAATGGTGCTAATGATAATCATAGGAATCATTATAGGAATCGTGATGATAAATATAATAATGATAATAAAAAATAAGATTTCATTAACTCTTGGAGCCGATTCTTTGAGCTAAGGATATATGAACAGGCAAGACCAAATAAATGCAGAGATCTAAACATAATCAACATGAAATGTCGGCTCTCGCGGTCTCTCTGCGATGTATATCAGCGTGAGTCCCAGCCGCCTCTCAGTAGTAGGTGAAAGTGCGTTGCGTGAGGACTTCTCGCGCTCGTCTGTCACTTTAGGTCGCTGCGTTGGTGCTGGTGTCGAGACTCTCTTGGTGAGCACTGTGTACCGGTGTTTTGTATGATTGTATGCTGATGAATATCATCGGCCGGTTTGTTAATACTGTGCGAAGCATGACCTAATTATTACGAATATGAAT